CGCATGTATTTCCTTTCCTGTTCCAGATCTCTGCTAGTGTAGTTTCCATCACAATCTGGCACAGGATGAGAAGCCACGAGTCTAGAAGAAACCCAAAGGCCACGCAGCTCTTGTCGGAGCCTCCGTACGACTGAGCTGTAATGGCTACTCCTCCGGGCGTATCTTCTGAACCCATCCAGGCTCTCCTCTGACAGTGATTAATGACCTAAGTCTTTGAATGAGACTTCAGGCACACTCTCCATTGCGCAGAGTACCCAGACAGCAGCAGAAGGAGCCAGAAATATGTGCTACATTGCTACTTTATTTCTAACTACGCAAGACAGAAAAGAATTTGCATCTGCTCTCTGTGAGAGACAGAAAACAACAGGACAAAGAAACAGGAAACCAGTAACATCAACATCCGTCTCCTGTGAGACTTCCAACAGTCTGGAATGTCAATAGAGTCTTGTGACTCCAAGAACTGCACAGTGGCATAACAGAAACGTAACAGCTCTGTTTCTTTTGGGGGGAGAGGGGGCAGGAAGAAGTTGTGAAGGATTTTTTTTTGGGGGGGTGCATGTTCTGCTGGCAAAAGAAGCCTTTGTTCTTGCTGCTTCAGTCAGCTGCCAGGAAGGCTGACATGTTCTCTCAAAATGCCTCAGTCAGAAGGGTAGCACAGCATGAGGGAAGCATGGGGGGGGGGGAGAGGATCTGGCCTTCATTTGTCCGTGAAGGTTGCCCCCCACTCCGCTCCAGCAAGAGTGTTTCTGCCATACAGTCAGACCTAAAATATCCCCAGTTCCTGATATATGACATGAAGTTGTTCCAAATGAGTCATTCCAGCTTCCTAGCTTACGCAGCTGCTGACAATAGTAGCTCCATGCTGCTTGAAGCAGTGGGGAAACTTTATTTTAAGCAGGAAAGGGAAGAGAACACTGTCACCTCTGCTTTTTTAAAAAATAATAATTTTCCACACCACACTGTATTATAAATATATAGATACTTTGCCCCTTCACCCCACAAGTAGTATTTCAGGATCCAGATTACATTTCTTTAAATCACAATATATTGCACAAGTAGGATTAAGAATCTTCTTATTCAGTCTAGTACAATGGATAATAACTTTTCATTTGCAGCATTCAGTGTTTTCTGTAACCTATAACCAAAGCAAATAACTCCATTAGTTCCAACTCTGAAAGCCACCTCTGCTTTCAGAAGTAAGCCCCCCCCCCAAAAAGTCACAATTTTCTTATTCTCTAAAATTGTCGTGGGGCACACTCTTCTTTCAGTCCTTAAGTGTGGACAACAGTGAATTTGATGTTCAGAAAGAGAGAGAGAACTTTAGAATGTGTGCATATGTAGCTATAAAGGTAAAGGTAAAGGTAAAGGTAAAGGGACCCTTGACCATCAGGTCCAGTCGTGGCTAACTCTGGGGTTTCGGTGCTCATCTCGCTTTATTGGCCAAGGGAGCCGTCGTACAGCTTCCAGGTCATGTGGCCAGCATGACTAAGCCGCTTCTGGCGAACCAGAGCAGCACACAGAAATGCTGTTTACCTTCCCGCAGGAGCGGTACCTATTTATCTACTTGCACTTTGACATGCTTTCAAACTGCTAGGTTGGCAGGAGCTGGAACCAAGCAACGGGAGCTCACCCTGTCGCAGGGATTCAAACCGCCAACCTTCTGATCGGCAAGTCCTAGGCTCTGTGGTTTAACCCTCAATGCCACTCGCGTCCCTATATGTAGCTATAGTGAAAGTCAATAAGGCTAATGGCTTGGACTGTATAAAATGCCTTTGGCAAATACAATTATGAGAATGCAGCCATATCACTAAAATAGGTAACAACCTCAGGAGAAACAAAAATCATGTGGTATCCCTTCTGCTAGAAATCTTTCCCCTCTTTTATCTCATCTCTCTTATGTCAGGGCACAGAATTCAAATTTCAGTGGTCAATGCAAATTTGCAGCAAGCAGAAAGTCTCCCAGCAGTTTTCATTCAAGCTAATCAGATGTTAGGTTGGTGCCTAGGGCCATTTTTTGGGGGTGGGAACCACCCTAGGCTTCCTTGTTTCACAGTGTGCTTTTGCTGTCAAATCACCTGGATTACAGAAAATAAAAACTTCAGCTGTTGCTTAGTTTCAAGCAAACTGTAGGGCATGCAACTCCTGAAAAATTAGAGAGTGGAAAAGGACATGGGGCACCATGGACAATCATTTACTAAAAAATATTTAGCTGGATTATATGCCAACTGATGCTATGAGTGTTTGGATTAAACCTCAGTGTGACTTTTAAATTCTCGCCTTCCCATGCTTCCATCAGAATTAAGCTGTAGGCAGTTATCTGAGAGCATCCAGGAGCTGGGACCTTGGTTCAGTGAATTAGCCATTGTTGTTCAAGCAAATTCCTGGAAGCTTTTAATAGCCGTTCTTGTCTTGGACTGCACACAGATCGTAAACTTAAAGCATATGGCTTCCTGCATAAAAGTTTAGGAAACTGTAGCACATTATGGGTGCTGTGAATCATAGCTCTTTCTGTGTGGGGTAAATTAAATCCAAAATTCTTTGTAGGGAGTTGTGCTTTAAATATATGGTATGTGTGCAGCTTTGGAGGGCCAAGGCCAGCCTAGGAGGACAGAAGATAGCTCATTGTCTAAGAAGATATTCCAACTTGCAGTACTGATAGCTTGTCACGTGGGGAGGCTGCACCCAGAGAGGAGGATTCCCTGTTTTTTTGCAGCAGTGGCTCCTGACAAGTTCACTTATTTGTTTTAAACATTTCTTAACCAACTTCCATCAATTCCTTGAGGCGACTGACTCAGGCAGCACAATCCACAGGGGCAACAGATCCTGTTGCAGATCTTTATTCCCCCTTGTTCCCAGCAAAGATCTTCACTCACCCCATCTTCCTGTTAGGATATTTCCTTTCCACCTTAAAAAGGGAGCAGGTTGTTGTGTCACAGCCTGCGTACTTCCGGCTCACAGGAAGTTTCTGTTTTGTATATAGCTGTTTTTTTTTCTCTCTCTGTGCCTCGACATGCAGGCAGGCAGTCATGTTTTTTTCTTTGTTCTGACCAACGCTGAATAAAGTTGTAAATATGCTCTCCTGAGTGCATCTTTTGTTGTGCAAACTCTGCAAAAGGGTGTGCACAAGTCCTTGGAATGTGGACAGCTGTTTCTGAGGCTTGTGTCACTAATTGACTGATACTGCGTTTCTACGGGAAATTGATGGATCGTCCGGAGACAACGTGGGGGCATGATGGCCTTTGTCTCCCTGGCAGTATCCCAACACTTCCTGGGTTCTGAGACAGGACACCATTTTGTGGTTCTCCTCAGGTGCCAAAATGTTTTGGGCTGGCTCTGCAGGGTGGCGAATAAAATTAATCCACACAACACATAAACACAATTTAAAACCAGCATTAAAAATAAGAAGACTAAACAATCTAAAACATCAGCAATCTAAAATGCAAAATAATTGGAAGGCCTTCACCTGGTACAAACAAACAAACAAACAAACAAACAAATAAATAAATAAGAACTCTTAAAAGTTCAGTAACCAGGTGAACCTTGTTAGTGAGGACATTGTTAAATTTGGATGCCACCACAGAAAAAGCCCTGTAACTTGTAGAAGTGTACACCTACTAAAGAGAATGCCTGGAGCAGGGCATCTCCAGAAGAACTTAAGATAGGAGCATACAGTTTAGTAAGCTTCACAATATGAAAAGAAGTAGCTATTGTGGGAGAAGCACCTTGGTCACCTCACATTTCTTAATTGTTTCTTTAAACTGTAGCTCCTTCTGACCATTTTATCCCCAAAGCAGGGACAAAAAAATGGATGGGAAGGGCGTCAGAATAAACTGCTAGTGATACCTGCTGTGAAGTTCCATTGGGAAGCATAATTGAGATGGAGATATTCTAATTGTTCATTGATTAGATCCCATTAGTTTGGAAAGGCTCAAAAGCAACAGTTAATGCCGTTGATGTACTTATTGTTCACTTGGTAAGTGTTAGTCATTAAGTAAATTGGAAACTGAATTGACTTTTGATGGCACATAATTGGTTTATCTAAATGACTGACAAAAAAATGAAAGTAAAACGAATGGTAAATGTTTTGGAAAAATCCTGGCACCGTGATAAAAGATAATTAGGTTTAGGGACCTGCTTTTCTGGAGGACTGTGTTTAAAACCAACTGCCTCTTCAATATCCCTCCTCCTTTTTTATTTTATTTTTATTTTTTAAGGAAGAGAAATTGCTTAAAATAAAGAACCTGCTTAAAATAGAGAGGTTGCTGAAAACAGAAAAGCTATCGATCTCACAGTGAGCCAACATTGAGTTCATGAGCTATGGTCAAATTCTAAAGATGTGATATGCATATGTGGAAGCAAGTCTACTTATCAGTCACAACTTGGAGAATACACATTTACCATTCATGTCTCTGATAGTCTGGGTGCCAAAGGGGTCAATATAGACTATTGATGTGCCACATGTGTTTTTATTCTTTTTATATTTCCTTTATGTACAGATGCCCAAACCAGATGAAACCACACTATAAGCCTTGGGCAATTTGAGATATTTGTCGCTAACATTTCACTGAGAAAACCAAAAACACACAGTAAAACACACATGGAATATGAAACAAGTACAGTCTTTCTGGCACCAGGTTATTTTAATTTGCCTGGGGGTTGTGTGGTCCCTGTTCTTCTGCAACAGTTTCATATTTGTGTTGCCTCTGAATCTTATTTTTGTTTGAAGAATATAATGTTGTTTTTCCTATATTGTATTTTTACGATTGGACACAGTACTGGAATCCACAGGATGAGGGGCGGTCTAGAATGTTTCTAAGTAAAATAATAATAATTCAAGCATCTTAAATCATCAAAACCTGTAAAAATGAATATTGAAATGAAAATTAATATTATGCAGAATAATACCCACTGTTGAGTAAGGTGGCTAATGTCATGGTAACATGGACTCCCTTGTGACACGTCCTCCTGCTGGATGTCTTGACTAGAGGTCTTTGGTAAGAGCAGGTATTTGAGGGAAGAGGAGTGGAATGAGCCAGAAGAGAAGGGGTTATTGTGTTGCATACAGATATATAGCACCAGTTAGAGATACGCATTATTAGAGAGTGATAGCATCAGAGAAAGAAGGAAAGTGATACAGAAAATCATTACATCTTTTAAAAAGTAAGTTGGATTTCTTAGTTTAGTTTTTGTTTATTGCTGGTTTTGTATCTAGTTTTAAGGTCTGCCTTTATTGTACTCCCTTATGTTCCCTCCCTTATAGTTGCTTTTAACTGTTTCTCCTTGTTGTTTTTTTTTAATCTTTTCAAAGTTATGTATGGTATAATCACCTTTTAATTATTAGCTTTTATCCTTTACCTGTTTTAAGTCTCATGTGTTCAGTTTATCCATATGTTTTATCTTATGCTGGTCTGTGACTGAAATAAAGTTTGATACTGATTCTCAGCTTTGATTGTGTAATGTGGTTTTGAGACATCCTAGTGCAAAAATATAATTATAATGATGATGATCATCAGGACCAGTTTAAATCTTTCAGTTCAAATGGCTTTTGTTTTCTTCCGTGGACATTTGGAAGGTCTTTTGATGAAATATTCTCAGTGTGTCCAACTGCTTACTGCACAAGTTCTTCATGATAGCAAATTCATGTCAAACCTAGTGGTCAGATACCTCCAGTTGAGTGCAGCGACATAGAGCATAAAGACATGACAACCCCAGTTTCTCATCTTTTCTCCACTCTGCCCTAGGTTGCAAAAGCTTTCAGAATCTCTTAACAATGATGAGTCTGCCAAACCTTGGAGGATTTGTTTCTTTAAAACAATGACAACCAAACACAACCCTCCTCCCCACAGATGCATTTTGTCATGAAAAAGCAAGGGTATTTGGTCTTAGGCTGTCTGGATTTTGAAGTTGAATTTGGATGCCATCAATCTCTGGTGTCCGGCCATAGTTATCCAGTCCTGAGAAAAAGTCACTCAGAGTCTAAGAGGCAAATTTATTCATTATTTATTCACATGGTCTGGGATTCAGCCCTAGATATTCAAAACAGGTTTGGAGCTGATGACAATTACAGTTCTCAAGATCCCTCATTTCTCTGAATGCACAATATCACCAGGGCCTTTTTGTTAGCTGCGGCCTGGATGTTTCTGTAGGAGCAGTGAGTGTTTTTTCTCTTGAATGTTTACTGGGCTCAGTCTTGACATAGGTGTTGATAACTAAGAAGCTTCTTGTATATGGCAAGGTCCAGCATTCTTCAACCTTGTTGCCTCCAGATGTTTTGGATCACACACCCCATCAGCTCCGATCACCATGGCAAATGTTCAGATATGATGGGGGCTGTTGGCCAAAACATCTGGAAGGGCCTGGGTTTTGTAAGGCTGTCCTAGTTCAAAGGAAGAGGAGAGGAGAGGAGAGTTTCAGACAGCTAGTGGGTTCTCCACCCTCAGGTTGCCTGAATTCTGCCCTAGCCAGTGTGAAAGGTTGGGCTGTAATTGCAACATCTGTCATACCCCATAGCTGCCTGGCCAGAGTTAGGATTGTTCTGTAACAGAACATTTCTCTAAATGTCTACTCAGAAGTAAGTTCCATGGAGTTCAGAGGCTTCCTCTCAGGTTAGTGGCTACAGGATTGAAGCTTGACTAATCTTTTTAAAAAACCTCCTTAGGCATCTGTCTTCTCCATCCATTTTATAGACCTCTTTCTGCTGATCGTAGAAACACCATCATGATAGTGTATTTGACTATCAGCAGTTACCACTGTGGTTTCAGTGAAATGTTGGATGTTTACCGAACATCCAAAAGGTTCTTTCAATAAATTTATTTATTAGCGGAATTTTTACATTTTATAGGTTCAATAATTTTTTATAGAGCTGACTTGGCTGATCTGTTTACTTGTCGCTCTCTCGTATGGCACAATCACATATAAAATGAAGCTCATAAAGTACATTATGTAAATATAAACAAGAGCTTTCAGGGGAAATTTGAATATGTAGGACTTTAAAAAGTTTTCTTTTCATAAATCTTTGTACGGATGCATCTAAGTTGAAAATAGATTAAGTTTGATTTCAATTATTTGTCAAGCACTTTTCCAGATGCAACCAAATTATTTCTTAGCGAGCACACAGGATTTTTATATCTTAAGACTATTTTCCATTGAAAATCTCATGCTTACTAATTACCGTATTTTTCGCTCTATAGGATGCACTTTTCCCCCTCCAAAAATTAAGGGAAAATGTCTGTGTGTCCTATGGAGCGAATGCAGGCTCATTGGCTTCAGGAATAGCAACGCGAAGCCTCCGAAGCGCAGAGGGAACGCTCCCTCCGGAGGCTTCGCGTTGCTTTCGCTGAAGCCTGGAGAGTGAGAGGCGTCGGTGCGCACCAACCCCTCTCGCTCTCCAGGCTTCAGGGATAGCCGCCTGAAGCCTTCAGAGCGCAGTGTGAGTTTCCTCTGCGCTCCGCAGGCTTCAGGTTCCTTTCGCTGAAGCCAGGAGAGTCTTGCTCTCCCGACTTCAGCAAAAGGAACCCGAAGCTTGCGGAGCGCAGCGGGAACTCGTGCTGCGCTCCGATGGCCGCCTGAAGCGGGTTCAGCAAAAGGGGCTCCGTTTCTCCTGCTGCTTCGCTGAAGGGGCGCTGAGCAGAGAGGGGGAGAAATTTTTTTTCTTGTTCTCCCCCTCTAAAACAAGGTGCGTCCTATAGTCGTGTGCGTCCTATAGAGCAAAAAATACGGTAGCTTCAACTTCCTAGAGACTGGCTATTTTATCTATTTTGGTGTTCTTTGTATTGTAAGAATCTGTATTGTCACTATGCTGACAAGCTAAGAATTAACTGTCCTAGCAGGAATGAAAGGTACTCATTGCCTGGCAGGTTTGCTGAAGCCATCAGCTGAATTGTGGGATGGGACAGAAGTCACCATTTCTAGGGAAGAGGGGCAAACCTCCTGCAAGATCTCTATGCTGTGAAGGGGGTCAAATGGACATATGGAAGGAAATCTGCTTGTATTCATCACTTCTCTCCCTTTTCTCCATTTCCCTTCATCTATTTATAGATTGGGAAACTTGGGGATGGGACCTGCCAAACATGTGTTGTTGTTTTTTTGTAAACTACCGTGTACCTAGAAGGCACCACAGAGTGGCAGGTGATAATTGTCAAAAGTAGCATACCACTGAGTACGTCCCCTCTTCAATTCTGGAGGTAGTCTGGGGATCCCAGGTCATCTTCCAAGTGGACGTGCTTTGTAGGAAAATTCTGCAGGAATGCAGAAAAAGAAGTTTCTCGAGTATTTCAGCTTTCTTAAAATGGAAAAAAAAAGTTTGTGGTCCTTATGAAGGTGAAGCAATCCTTGATGATGCATGGGTGATTTATGCAGAAATCTTAGAAGTCAGAGTTGATGGGTTTGGGGATGGGTATGCAATACTTTACATACTCTCCTCATGACCAGAGGAAGCAGAAGAACAGAGCTATACAAAATGAGGCTGGTAGGACAGATCTGTGGAATCACTAAAGCCATCCAAAGCCCCTCAAACTCATGCCAACTAGGGTGGAAGGTGATGGAAGCACACCCACATTGTTTTTGCTTCATCAGCTCCAGGCTGGCTATTAATATAATAAATGTAATGTAATGTAATGTAATGTAATGTAATGTAATGTAATGATTGATTTACAGATTGATTTACGGAAAATTAGAATATTGTGGAAAAGTTAATTTATTTCATTTCAGGCCAGCAAACTCGCCTGACCTGAACCCCATAGAGAAGCTATGGGGCATTGCCAAGAGAAAGATGAGAGACATGAGACTGAGCAATGCAGAAGAGCTGAAGGCTGCTATTGAAGCATCCTGGTCTTCCATAACACCTCAGCAGTGCCACAGGCTGATAGCATCCATGCCACACTGCATTGAGGCAGTAATTGATGCAAAAGGGGCCCAAACCAAGTACTGAGTACATATGCATGCTTCTACATCTCAGAAGTCCAATATTGCTCTATTTGCAATCCTTATTTTGCTGATTTCATTTAATATTCTAATTTTCTGAGATTGTTAATTTGGGATTTCATCAGCTGTATGCCATAATCATTAATTATAACAAATAAAGGCTTGACATATCTCGCTTTGCATGTCATGACTCTATCTCATATATTAGTTTCACCTTTTCAGTTGAATTACTGAAATAAATGAACTTTTCCACAATATTCTAATTTTCCGAGTTTCACCTATATATATTGCCCTTCATCAAGAGATCTCAGGACAGTTCACAAGACAACAATCTGAGGTGTCTAAGCTTGCTCCTTTCAGGAAGATAATAATAATAATAATAATAATAATAATAATAATAATAATAATTATTATTATTATTATTATTTCTGCAAGGACACATATTGTACAAGCTAATGGCTCATAAAGCACTATCTTCCTGATAATAACAACAATAATAATTTATATCCCACCTATCTGACTGTTGTTTCCCCAGCCACTCTGGGCAACTCCCAACAGAATATTAAAAACACGATAAAACACCAAACATTAAAAACTTCCCTAAACAGATGAAAAAGCTTTGGATCCATTAGATCCATGGCTGGCCCAACCTCTGCCCCATAGAATCATAGATCCGTAGTGTTGAAATGGACCTCAAAGGTCATCTAGTTGAAACCCTTGCAAGGCAGGAATCCGCCCCCCCCACAACCATCTCTGGGTGGGCTTGAACCAACAACCTTTTGGTTAACAGCCGGATGCCCTGATTCATTGTAACACCCTCTTTCAGAGCCCCAAACTGGCTATCGCAGGGAGAAATTCTGTGGTGATGCCCTTTTAAGCAGCTGAACCCAGTAGAGGGGTGTCTGTGTCTAATCCTAATCTCCCGTGGCGCTGATCAGGGAGTTAGAATTGTTCTCTGAATTTTGCAAAATCATTAAAATATCAAACTGTACAATCAACAGAGGGTGTACAATACGGCATGACTGGTAGATCAGTCTGTCTGTCTATCTATCTATCTATCTGGCTGAGTTCACACAGACTTAATGTTATGTGGCTGGCTAGATAGATAGATGTATTTGTGGCAATGTTGTAGTAGTCCTCAGCCAAATTCTATTTGGTTTCATGTTCCTGCCTTAAGTAAGGTTTTTTCATTTTGTTTTTTTCTAGAGGAGTTAACCACTTTCCTGCAGAGCAACAACATGACATGGACTGTGCAATGCATTCACAAGCAGAAATTCAGTTACTGAGAGGGAGAGGAGAACTAAATTGTGTACGGTTGTAAATAAGAGGCCACTAGAAAAGGTGAACTCAGCAATATGTTTCCCTAGAAGATAAGGAGAATTAACTTGCAATAAATCCTAGTAAACTAGCCTTACAAAGCCTTGCATTTTTTAAAAAGCAACAAGAAGACACCTATGTGTTTTAATGCAATTGTAACTTCAAGGCGGAATAAAGCTGAAAGGAGGGGAAGAAAAATGCAGCCTCAGTAAAAGTGGAAGTCTCTTGACAGCATTAACCAAGAGAAAGAAAAGAAAAAGGCAAGTAGTTCATACTGTCTCTACAGGTGGGACCAAATATTTCATGAACACAAAAGTTCAGTTGTTCTGTGAGAGCCAGGTGAATACTGAAAATTCAATTAAAAATATTTTGGTTTGGGCTGTTAAAAAAAGGAGGGGATGCATTCTTCTTCCTACCCATTATACAGCACACGCCGTTGCATAGATTAACTGGAGGGGATATGAAGAAGAGAGATGAAGACAAATATGGGATATTTAAAATGAAAAAAAAGCTGAAACACATTAATCCTCAAACTTTCAAAATCCAATTCTGTGGATTTGGGTGGAAAATAATGTCCTGATGTCTAATTGTTCAGTGAATACCGTATTTTTCGCCCTATAGGACGCACTTTTTCCCCTCCAAAAATGAAGGGGAAATGTGTGTGCGTCCTATGGGGCGAATGCAGGCTTCAGGAGAGCCCCACCGCCAGCCCCACAAGCTCGGGGGACAACGGGGAGGCGGAATGCCGCTATCCCGCTGCCCCCCGACTTGGTTAGAAGGCTGGCGGGGGGGGAGAAGCCTGCTCCTCCCTGTCGCCAGCCCCGCAAACTCAGGGGACAGCGGGGAGGCGCAGCGCGCCTTTCCTGCTGTCCCCTAACTTGGTTAGAAGGCTGGCGGGGGGAGAAGCCTGCTCCTCCCCATCGCCAGCCCCACAAACTCAGGGGACAGCGGGGAGGCGCAGCGCCCTTTCCCGCTGTCCCCCGACTTGGTTAGAAGGCTGGCGGGGGGAGAAGCCTGCTCCTCCCCGTCGCCAGCCCCGCAAACTCAGGGGACAGCGGGGAGGCGCAGCGCGCCATCCTGCTATCTCCTGACCTGGTTTGGAGGCTGGCGGAGGGCTTCCCCCTCCCCCAGCCCCACAGGCTCCCAGAGCGATGCCAAAGCTGCACACAGCTTCGGCATCACTCTGGGTCCCGTTCTGGGGTCTGGGGTCTGGGGAAGCTCAGGCTTGCAGAAAGCTTCCTGTTCTGGGAGCTAGGGTCGGGGGAAGCTCGGGCTTCCCCCACCCCAGCCCCGCGCCTGGGGGGGGAAATAATTTTCCCCCTTTATTTCCCCCCTCCCCCAAAAAATCTAGGTGCTTCCTATGGGCCGGTGCGTCCTATAGGGCGAAAAATACGGTAGGTTATATTCACCATTTGAGATCTAAAACATTTTGTGACAGTTAATATATTACAGTGGTACCTCGGGTTACAGATGCTTCAGGTTACAGACTCCGCTAACCCAGAAATAGTACCTCAGGTTAAGAACTTTGCTTCAGGATGAGAACAGAAATTGTGCTGTGGCGGTGCAGCGGCAGCGGGAGGCCCCGTTAGCTAAAGTGGTGCTTCAGGTTAAGAACAGACCTCCAGAACGAATTAAGTTCTTAACCTGAGGTACCACTGTACATTTAGCAGTTGCCTTTTCCTGCTTGTTTTCTCTCCACCCACTCACCCTGTGACTTTAAAGTACATAGGGGGCAGAGTTGCATTGCATGTGGCATCATGAGAGGTAATGCATGGTTCTGAGCCCATTAGCAGGACAAATGCTCTGGATGGCACCAGCCACTATGGAAACAGAAGAACACAGGGTTATGGGAACAGAAGAACATAGGGTTCCTCCACAGGCATGGTGTAATTTGTTTGGGCTCCCAGTCATCCACCCTGTTTGCAATGCATGCTTAGCTGGTTGTTTTAAGGCTGAGTAGGATTTTTCACCTCACATCTCTGAGCGGCGGAGTTCTGGGAATTTTTCACATTCTCTGCAGTGTATCATCATCAAGGCAATTCTGTTTGATAGGTTAATGACATCAGGTGGCAGCAATGTAGATCTGGGCAATGTAAAAAAAAGCCCAAGATGCAGAATAGTCACTGGTAAGTACCCAGAGGCACCCAGATACTGAAGGGGAGGGGTTCCATTGGGTGGTATTCTATGAATTACCAAAGGTGTCATGGACTTTGAAGATGCTCAAACTCAGGACTAAAGGGAGAAATGAGCCAAGAGGAAGGAATGTTTGACAAACCCTTACCGTGTTCAACTCCCACCCAAAAACCTTTGTCCCCACTGTGGAAGGGTGTGTGGATCCAGAATTGGCCTCCACAGTCACTTACAGACTCACTGTTAAGACCATGTTCATGGAAGACAATCTTACTTGGCTACAAGTGATCACCAAAGAAGAAGAAGAAGATTCCATGAACACTTCCCGTTAGCACAAGGAGTTCTACTTGCACTACGATACATTCCCCCCGTGCCCATGTGCACGCCACCCCATCCTCCAATTTAGAACAGATTGGGGGGTGCATGTGCAGGAAGAAGGCTGTAAAGAACATTGCACAAACACAAATCCTTGTGCCGATGGGACCATGACTTGGTGCTGCTTGGGATACAACACATTGACCTGAAATTCAGAGCTTTGAGATCCAGACAGTGGGGATCAGCACTTGGCACTTGAAAGCGCTGCACACTCAGATTTGGAGCTCAGGTCACGGCAGTGCAGGATGCCTCTGTCAGCAAAGAACACCAGCGTTTCAACAGTACAGTTCAGATTCTGAACCAGGTTAAGCATGTCCAAAATGGAGGGGAGGCAGGAGATTGCTAGATGGCTCCAGCCTCAGCCAGTTAACCCACTCTGTAGATTGATCAGTGCAAATCTCTTAGGTTGTGGCCCTCATTTAATCCAACGACACATGACTTCCCTCTCATTATGGGCAAGGGGGCAAGTTAGGATGTGATTGCTGGCATGCAGTAGTTGACAGCATTCCTTCAGACATGTAGGAGTCATGAAAGCGTTTGACGGCTGAAATGCAACAGCTGCCAGTGTGTGACAATGTGTGACAGTATTTTATTGGATAAATGACTTGAAATAGATTTTAGAAACTTTTATATTTACTTCAGCCAACCAATCAAAGCAGCTGAACGTTTTGGCATTTCATTGTTTGATCCCTATGCGATAATGCTGCTGGGGATTTCAGTGGGGACTGCAAAACACACGATGCCTTACTAGGACAATTCTGACTCCTGGCACAGCAGAGTTTGTTGACGACATTAGCATCACCAGGGGTTGAAGACTCTGCTAGGAAGAGTTTGCTAGGGCTGGGCTGTGGTATGATCGTAATTATACCTGGGATAGCTCAGCTGGTAGAGCGTGAGACTCTTATTTATTTATGTTATTAGCAATATACATATTACATATACAAAATGGACAAAAAAACCATTATTACAAATAGAAAGAAAAAAGATCAAATAACATTAACATAACCTACAATCAATCCAACATATACAAAAAGAAAAAGAAAAAACTAAAAAAAGAAACAAGAAAACAAGAAAAAGAAAAACGGTTTCATATACACATCTTTTTAAGGAATACAAGCTGTTCTTACTCCTGTTAGAAGCCCCCTCTGGAAGATCTCATTTCATCTTTTCATTCTCTTCTATTTTACTAGTATCTCCTTTTACAACTTCAGGCTTGATTCCCTGATTTGTATCTTGACTCCCCTATAACCCTATACGGCTCCTAATATCTCATATCTCTGGTTGTCTGTAATCAGTTAGTAAATCTGTGGAGAAACCTCCTAGCATGAGACTCTTAATCTCAGGATTGTGGGTTTGAAAGATTCCTGCATTGCAGGGGGCTGGACTACATCGCCCATGTAGCCCCTTCAAACTCTACAATTCTATGATTCTAAGCTCTCTCATGAAGCTGCCTTATAAGTGAAGCTGCCTCCATCTTGTATTGCAAGCTGCCTCCATCTTGTATTGGCAGTGATTTTTCAGGGTTTTTGACATGATTGAGTCTCTTGGACTTGCTGATCAGATGGTTAGTGGTTCAAATCCCTGTGACGGGGTGAGCTCCTGTTGCTCTGTTCCAGCTCCTGCCAACCTAGCAGTTCAAAAGCATGCCAGTGCAAGTAGGTAAATAGGTATGGCTGCGGCAGGAACATAAACAGTGTATCCGTGCACTCTGGTTTCCATCACGGTGTTCCATTGCACCAGAAGCGGTTTAGTCATGCTAGCCACATGACCCGGAAGGCGTCTGTGGACAAACGCCGGCTCCCTCTGTCTGAAAGCTAGATGAGCACCGCAACTCCATAGTCACCTTTGACTGGACTTAACCATCCAGGGGTCCTTTACCTTTACCTTTTATAGCCCAGGTATAAGAAAAACACATCTTATTTCAACTGAAATAGTTGTGTATATCCCTTTTCTTGCATATGGTTCTGTGCCCCCCTACCGGCCCTCAATTCAGTTGACATCAAAAATATGCAATTTAGATGCAGGCCTAATTCAAATATACCTTTTATCTGTCTCTTAAGCTAAAAAGGTTGTATGTCTCTTCGGCTCAGTTTTGGTGTTCCCTTCTCAATGGTAAAGAATTACAATGAGCAGCCTTCAGTATTTGCTGTTCCAGAAAGTGCTCTGGAAGTAATCTGTCTTCAGAGACTTATGACTAACAACTTAAACATGACAACAAACACAAGTGCATATTTCTGTTTTACAGTTTTATAAGGAAACTAAATCTATTATTCTCCCTAACCTATGCAAGATGAAATTCACGGTTATGAGCCATGTGTAAAAGTGAAGAAGGGAGTAATAAACCTGGGAGAGAACCTGGGGAAAATGGAATTATGCGTAAGGTCTCAGGCTTAAAACCTGCTCATCAGAATCCCATGTGAAACATCGAAAAGCTTACTTTTTAGTTATTTCTAAACTCTAGCATTATTCCTTTTTTAAAAAAAGTCACTGCTCTGTCCATGCCACCTCCCCAGCTCATGCAAAAATTATTTATGATCCATTTGTAGCAGCACCACTTAATAAGTGTTGGTGGTTCTCTCACCGTTT